GCAATTTTTACTCATTTTGTGACGATAAATAATTTGTCGCGATATATCTTACCTCTAGCGACAAATCAAAATTTGTCATGAAAAACATATTGTGACCGGTTTCTAGCGACAATCTGGGGACAAAATTTTTTTGTCGCGATAATCTTATCGCGACAAAATATGTACTTTTAGTGACAAACTCTTTTGTCGCCAAAGACCAAATTTGTTGTAGTGCCCTGAACTACAAAAGTTGCAACTAACTCCCTGAAGTATTCAATTTTGTTACAGATGACTCCATTCGGCAGGAATCCGGCAGCTTTGACCGTTACGTGATGTAGATTTGTAAAATAAAAGACCAGAATACCCTTATTCACATAAAAGGACAAAAATGCCCTTACTTGTTACCGTTATAACAAAACGGTCATATATTAGCCTATATCAGCGTATACCATTATAACCAAACACAACCTTCCAATAAAAATTGAGAAATTTGGCTGCCCTAAATTGACTGAACCTTTCCTCCCAAAATTAGTCAAGCTTCATCTGTGGCCTTCGTCTTCGGAAACATTGATTAAGTTCTTGGTAAGTGTTTGTATTCATCTCTTTATTTCTGTGAATGTTCATCTGTGGCCTTCGTCTTTGAAATTGAGAAATTTGTTTACCTTAGATTGACTGAACCTCTTTTCCCAAAATCAGTCAAGCTTCATCTTGGTAAGGGTTTGTATTCATCTCTTTATTTTTGTGAATGTCCATCTGTGGCCTTCGTCTTCGAAAAAATCCAGAAATTGCTTGGGCTATGAATGTTCAGTATATATATATATATGTGTGTATGTGTGTGTGTGTGTATGTTTGTGATTGTCTATATATATATATATATATATATATATATATATATATATATATGTTTTGAGGGACGGTATTTTTATGTGATATTATTTACAGAGAATGAGTTATGTATCATCGACTTGCACTTCCCACCGAAGGGCTCCCTTTCAGAACATAAAATGTTTTTGTGACCAAAGGGCAGGTGTATTCATTTATGAGTTAAGAGACAATCCTGGAAAGCTTTATTTCAAGTGCAAGGATGAAGTCTGTACTTTTTTTGTATGGTGGAATAATCTAATAACTACTACAACAGATGAAGTTAAAGCACATCCAGTTCCTCGTCTAGCACCTATGACTGACATCAATTCAATTGCCAAGTTAATGTTTGTTGCAAGCTTGTATTTCTTTGGGTTATCAGTTGTAATTCTAATTGTTTCCCTTTTGTTAAAGTGAATTTTCTGTTTTTGGAGTTCAGCAAAAAAAAAAAAAAAAAAAAAAATCCCACTCATTGGAGTTCAGCTTGTGTGTTGAGCTTGTGTGTTGTGGAAGTTAAGGTTATGTATTAAGTGGGTGAAACGTGACCTATTTCTCTCTCTTCTGGGGCGACTACAAGGGAACTAGGGTTTCCACGTAACTGGTTTCCTTGTGCGGGATGATCACCATGGAGGAGGGCCAACCCTCCTCCCCAAATCCATCGGTGATATCTAATGATCGGTAAAATCCCCCCCTTCTTCGCCACCACGAAAGTCATGGCATAGTTGTTTTGAGGAGACTTCATCCCCTCAGTTTGTTAACTTAACGTTTTATAGCAGTAGTAAGAATAAGAAGGTCTCTATCATTGTTGAGGATGTTACAGATGAGATTGATTATTGGAAGAATTCTATTGTTGGATATGTGATGGGTAGCAGACCTTACTACCATCACTTTAAGGCGTATGTTGAAAAACGCTGGAACAAACAAGTTACGGTTCTTTATCTTAAGGAAGGTTTCTTCATGGTGCGTTTTGATAATAAAGATGATTTAAAGGCGGTAATAGCTAGGATTCATACATTCGAAGGACGGCCTATCATCCTTCGATGATGGAAGAGGGATGTCAAACTTGTGAAGGAAAATTTTGAAACCTTACCTATCTGGATTCGTATCTATGAACTTCCAATGCACTGTCGCAATGTAGTTTCAATCTCAAAGGTTTGTTCTGCCTTCTCCTACCTAATTTACATGGATGATCCTATTCTTCATAGGGACAGGGGGAGTATGTTCGTGTTATGGTTGAAGTTAATGTTAGAGAAGTATTACCTGAATCAATGGTGGTTGATTTTCATGGATGTGATTGTGAGGTAAAGATTGAATACGAGTGAAAACCACAACTATGTTTTATTTGCCATAGGGTTGACCATCGTGCAGATCGATGTCCTAAGAAGGTTCTGTAGTCTAAGGTTTCTAAGCCAACCACTAGATGGGTGGTGAAGCATAAGGGAAAGGAGGTGGATGTAGAGACAATGCAAGATATACCGATTACAAGCCTTACCATGGCCTCTCCTCAAACTGAACAAATTACAGTTGGTAATACGTTTGCTGCTTTGGAGAATATAGATGAAGAAGATGGAGAGATTTTGGGGGATATGATTGGTGTACAAGAGGCTGTGGGTCTTGGAAATATGGTTTCAGAAGATATTCCTAACCCAACTGAGGTTGTGTCAGATGTAACTGGTGCTGTACTTGAACCTATTGTAATAGAGGAGACTCTATTAAAGCCTGCAGTTGAGGTTATTGGTGAGAAGCAGTCTATAGCAGATGTATTTATTATTTCATCTCCCCTCACTGTGGGAGTGGATAACATAGGTACTGATAGGGAGAAGGTCACTGATCTTTCTTCACCTTCTGCTACAACGTTTGGTGTTACCATTAAGTTACATATGCCTGTAGGTACAAAGAAAGACATACTTCAGAAAGGGGTTCCTAAAGTAGGGGGATCTGTCTTTGAATCTTCTTCACCTACTGCTATAAAGTCTGGTGCTATTACTTCTTTAAGTACTAAGAAATAAGTGTTTAAGAAAGGGGTTCCTAAAGTAGGGGGATCTGAGAGGATTACTAGGAGTAAGGGAGGTCTACCTCCTTCTTATAATCCTCAATGATTTGCTCTTGGAATGTCAGGGGCTTAAATAAGCCCAGAAGACAGAGAGAAGTCAAACATTGGCTCACAGATAGGGCTTCTCAATTAGTGTGTTTAGTAGAGACTAAGGTTAGACAGGAGAAATTTACTAAGATTACAAGGAGGATTAGGAAGAATTGGAATTGGATCAATAATTATTTTGCTCATGTCTATGGTAGGATTTGGTTTGGGTGGAATCCACAGGTTTTTTCAATATCAGAGGTTGCAGTTTTTGCTCAGATTATGCTTCTTAGAGTATAAGTGGTTAATACAGGGGAGATATTCTTTTGCTCGCCAGTTTATGCTGCAAATGCTAATAAAGACAGAATGGAGTTGTGGGGATAATTGGTTCAGCTATCAAATACAATCTCAGACCCTTGGATTGTGTTGGGAGATTGGACTGCAATTAGGTTTGCTGGAGATAAGAAGGGGGGTAAGAGAGTTCCTCAGAAACTTTTGGATGAATTTAATCAATGCCTATGTTCTGCTGGTTTGAATGAACTTTTGGCTTCCAATGGTGATTGGTCCTGGTGTAACAGACAGCAAACTTCTAGAAGGATCTATGGGAAGTTAGATAGGGTTTTTGTCAATGATCATTGGATGGATAAATTGCCAGCTACTAAGGTTCTTTACACTTCGGCTAGTTGCTCTGATCATTACAGAATTGCAGTCCATTTTAGTAAGAAATTTGCTTCAGGACCAAAGCCTTTTAAAATATTGAAAGTTTGGTGTCTTCAAGAGGCTTTTGGTTCTGTTATTCAACAGGCTTGGGATGTGGAGGTTTTTGGTAGTCCCCTACATTGCTTTCTAAAGAAATTAAGGCTCGTTAAAACAGCTACTAAGGAATGGAATAAAAACTGTTTTGGGGATTTAGGGGAGCAGGTGTACCAAGCCAGAAAATGATTGGACGTTGTTCAATTGGAATTGCTAGTAGCTCTTACTGATGCAGTTTTTGATTCTGAACAAACAGCTAGGGAGGAATTAAATGTTGCTCTTTCAAATCAAGAAGTTTTAGTGGCTCAAAAATCTAGAGTTCAGTAGTTGACAGACACTGATAGGTGTACAGCTTACTTCTATCAAAAGCTGAAGCAACATAGGAATATTAATGCTCTTACCTACTTGGAAAATGAAGAGGGAGTTACAACTTCTGATTTAGTGGTGATTAAGGAGTGGTTTGTGGAGTTTTATACGAATCTTTTTGCTAAAAGGGATTCTCCAAATATGTGGGATAATACTCCGGTTAATCAAATCCAAGAGGTAGATAAAGCTATGCTTGATAGGCTACCTGATTATGAGGAAGTGAAGAATGTGGTTATGAATTTCAATCCAGATAAGGTTTTAGGTCCAGATGGATTCCCCTCTCGGTTCTACCAAACTTTTTAGAATATTATTGATACTGATTTGGTTACTACTGTACAACATTTTTTCAAAACTGCAGCTATGCCTTTGGGAGTTAGTAGTTGCTTTCTTACCCTTATTCCAAAGATTGGGAATGCAGTTAAGATTGGAGATTTTCGGCCTATTGCTTTATGCAATGTGGTTTACAAAATTATTACCAAAATCATGGCTAATAGATTGTCTATTGTTTTAGCTAATTTGGTTGGAATTGAACAGTGTGCTTTTATTAAAGGGAGAAAAATTCAAGATGCTTTAATTATGGTGCAAGAAATGGTTAAAGATTTCAATCTTCCTCGCCATTGTTCTATGGCTATGAAGGTGGATCTGAAGAAGGCGTACGACTCCATCTCTTGGGAGTTTCTGTTGTAGGTGCTTCAAAATCATGGTGTTAGTAATGAATGGTTAACATGGATATCTTCCATCCTATCTACTACCAGATATTCAGTATTGATTAATGGGTCACCGGCTGGATTTTTTCAACCTGGTAGACAGGGGTGTCCTCTCTCACCTTTTCTGTTCACTTTGGTCACAAATCAACTCTCAGTTCTTTTAAAATCTGCTGTTCAAGAAAGTAGACTAACTGTTGTTCATGCTGCTAGAAGATTTCAATCCCCACTCTGTCACATATTTTTTTGCAGATGATCTAATGGTGGCTGCTGAAGCTTCTTTATCTAATGCCTCTACCCTTGCTCATATTTTCCAACATTTTGAAACACTGTCTGGTTTACAGGTTAGCAAACAAAAGAGTAGCATTATTTTTTCTCGAGCTGTTAGGAGGAAGCAAGGTATTCTGAGTTTGCTCCACTGCAAGGAAGGGAAATTTCCTATTAAATATCTTGGGCTTCTTTTGTGTCCTAATGGATTAAAGAAGTCTTATTGTGTTGCTCTGCTGGAATGCAATTTTTTTGTTTACTGCAGGGAGAGCAGAGCATATCAGGACAGTGGTCACTCCTACATTCCATTATTGGTGTTACATCTATAACCTTCCTATATCTATTATCAATTCGATTCAAAAGATGTGCAGGGATTTTCTTTGGGGCAGTAAGGATTACAGTAGGAAAATGCATCTAATGAACTGGGATATGATTTCTAGACCAAAGGCTGAAGGGGGCTTGGGAGTGAGAAAGTTGCTTGATGTTCAAATGGCTTCAAAGTGTGTTTTGGCTTGGGATTATCTCACAAGCAAAGATAGACTTTGGGTGTCTTGGTTTCAAAAAAAATATGCAGCTCAAATATCTTACTGGAATGTTTTACCTCGATATTCTTCTTCAACTATCTGGAAAGCAGTTGTGGCGGTAAGGGACATTATGCTTCAACATACAAATTTTATCGTTGGTAGTGGTACCTCAATTTCTACATTCTTGGACCCTTGGTGTGATAAATTAACAGTTGTTCAAAGATTTGGCCAGAGAGTTGTTAGGAGTTTACATCTCAATAGAAGGTCTTCTTTGGATAGTTTGCTATTGAATGGTGCTTGGAATAATGAAATGCTTTAGGCTGCGATCTTGGAACCATTTTGAAATTTTATTCAAACTTTGACAATTAAGACAAGTTTGGATAGATTGCAATGGGATGGTGGCAGGTTCTCTTTCAAAAGGGCTTGGAATTGTTGTAGAAGTATTAATGAGGAAGTTACCTGGCATCATTTTTGTTGGGGGAAGTCCAGACAAAGGTGGTCTGTGTGTGCGGTGTTTGTGTTTCATGACAAATTACCTTCAATGGTTAACCTACAGAAGAGACGAATTTTCTTGGCCTCTAGATGCTTTCTCTGCTGTCATGAAGTGGACAATACAAATAATATCTTTGTTACTTGTATCTATACTCAACTGTTTTGGACTTGGATTGGGGAGGTTCTTAATTGGGATATGTTGCAATTTGCTGATGCAGTTGATGTTGCCGGTTTGTTGATTTGGTTTCACAATTTGAATCACCAGGCTCCAATTAGAATTAACTTATTACCTGCTATAATTTGGGGTTTATGGCAAGAGAGAAATTCTAGGCTTCATGATGGGCCACGAAATTTACCAGAAGCATTGGCTAGACAGATGCTGCTTGAGACTCTGGATCTCAATAAGTTAGGAATTCATGATCTTATTTTTTAGGACTTGTTCTCAGTTTATTGTTTTGTATTGGAAATGGGTATATTCAATAGGAGTAAGCTGTTTCTTGTTTTCTTTATTCTGTTTATCAGAGGGTATGTCCTCTTTGCTCATGTTTTGTCACTATTATCTTTGATTTAATAAAACACCAATTATGAAAAAAAAAAATGTTGTGTATTAAATGGTCTGTTTTGGGAGCTGGGTTGTGTTGTAACTTTTGTTCAGCGTCTTCAAGGTATTGTAATATTTTGATGCATAATGAAAATTATTTTCCATTTGTTCTTAATTGGTTGTTATGTTATTAATTTCCTTTGATGTATATGGCTACAAATTGCTTCCCTTTTGTTCTGTTTATGGAATGGACAAAAAAGTTGGATTGGACAAAAGTTGGTTGTTAAATGAATGCAATGTAGTGCACAAGTTCCTTTCCGAAGAATAGGAAGAATAGGAGGAACAACCTTTCTGCCATTTGTAGGAAGAATAGGAGGAACAAATAACCATAGTTCAACTAAAATTGATATTCAGATCTAGACTTGAAAATCTGGAAAAATTAAAATTTTATGGCCATCATTATGATTTTATTTTTTTTGGAAGTTGGAACCACATGATTCTAAAGAGGGTGAGTCATATGGATGCAATTATCATAATAGACATTTTTTTATATATATTTATTTTTGACATAACCATTGCCTAGTTTTTTTTGTCATTCCTTTGATCACTTAAATTACATGCTACTACATCTTTTCCACTAAACATACTTAAATAAGAAAATATTTAACATAATAACCACAACACTTAACATACTTAAATAACATTCTTAAGATCACAAAACACAACACTTAAACAACCATAATGTTGCAGTGAACAAAATAACAAATAAGTTCTTCAGTCATAGTAGCAGTAACAACATGAGAAACTTAACAACATTACTAAGTTAATTTCATAAATACTGATCTAATCCCATTTCTAAATTATTAAGATTTTCAGCAACAGAGAAGCAACAATAAAAGCCAAAAAAATAAGCTCCAACAGCAACTTGGAACCATCAACACTAGCAAAAAAAACAACCTTCAACAGTAACTAGGAACTATCAAGACCAGCAAAAAAAAGGAACCTCCAACAGCAACTGGGAATCATCAATATCAACAAAAAAAAAAAAAAAAAACCTCCAATAGCAACTGGGACACATTAACATCAGCTAAAAAATTAACCTCCAACAGCAAGGGAACCATCAACATTAGTAAAAAAAAAAAATCACCAGAAGCTGTAACCATTAGAATTACTAACATGCATACTCACTACCATCCATCATTGACCTGTCAATACATGGGAATTTGTTGTAATTTCTAAAAAATAATTATCCATTTCAAGACAACAAAAATTGCAATACCTAGAAGATAATGCTTGAGTTGATTCTAGCTGGGACATTCTTATATTTCGAACCTAAAAATTGAAAGTCAATAGCAATAGTGAGGTAAATTCAATCCAAAGAAAAAAAAAATTTGACTCAAAGATATGCTCTATGATTATTAAGTAGCCTTACCTCTTGATTTGAAGATACCATACTTGGAACTTCACTTCCTCTTGCTCTTCCACCCCTTCTTGGTCTTCTTCTGCCTCTTCCCCTTACTGCCACTTCACCATCACCAATACTAGCCACTTCTCCCCTTGCTTTTCCTCTTCCTTTGCCAAGAATTGGTGGTCTACCTCCCCTTCTTGGTGGAGGTTTTTCAATGACCTATGCTTCAGGTAACGTACAAGTTCTTGAATTATGACCATTCTCCTTACACTTTGAGCATTTCAGACTTTCCTTGGACCTACTAAGTTTAGTTGAGCTCTTGGGGTCATCGTTTTTCTTATTTCTAGCCTTCTTTGACCTACCAGTAGGTTTTGTAAAGTAAGGTAGAAGCAAAGGGTTAATATGGTCTATTTTCATTAACCTTCTCATAGGAATGGGCATGATTAACCCAGCATATGACCTCAAGTAAGTTTTCTTATGATAAAATTGATCAACATATGCTTCAGGTTGGTCTCTCTTGGTAAATAGGCATGCTACAACATGTTTGCAAGGGATACCAGTCAAACTCCAAACCCTACAGCTGCATGTTCTATGGTTAAGGTCCACAACCTCACTAATTCCATATCATTGAATCTCGTACTTGTTCTCACCAGCGTAATGCACCTTGCAAATTCTAGCTTCTTGTTTTACCTTGTTCAATTATTTTTGTATTTCTAGACATAATAAGCCAGGTTGTGATTCCATCCACTTTTTCTTAACTTGGAACCTTAGCATGAGATGCCTCCGGATCCACTTTAGCATGTACATGATTGGTTTGTCTCTTGCTTCAAGAATAACTGAGTTCTAACTTTCACACATATTATTGATCACCACATCATTTTTTTGAAGTAAAATTGAAGGCTGACTTAGACCACAAATGAGGTGGGACTTTTCTCAACCAATCATGTGCTTTAACATTTATCTACCTAATATTTCTCATATGTTGTTCAAAATCAGTTTTTGTACATGCCCTTGCAGCCTCCCATAACTCAATTTTCAGCTGCTGCCCTTTGAACCTGAGCTTGAAGTTTTCATATAGGTGTCTCACACAATACCTGTGGTCACTCCCTTGCAAGATGTTTACAAATATGTCTACTAAACCTTGAATTACAAACAAAACAACAAACATACTAAGTGAGAACCATAATTTAAACCAAACATAATTAAATTAGAAGATTGTAAAGTATTAAAAAATTACAAAGCAAACATATGAAATATACTAACCTTTTGTCTATCAGATATGAATGTGATACCATAGTAAGGCCCTACAACATCCATCAGTTCTCCCATAAACCATTCCCAAGAATCCATTGTCTCAGCCTCTACTACTACATATGCAATTGGGAACATTTGGTTATTTCCATCAGTAGAGACTGCACTCAAAAGATGGCCGCCATATGGCCCTTTAAGGAAGCAACCATCTATACCAATTAGTAGCCTACAACCTTCTTTGAAACCCATTTTCATTGCAGAATGACATATAAAAACTCTCTAAAATCTCCTAACATTTTCAACAGGAGTGGGATCAGTTGCTATCTTAACAACACTTCCAGGATTGGTTATAAGAATTAAACTACAGTAATCCCTCATTTTTGCATATTAGTTTACTTCATTCCCCTCAATCATTTCTAATGTTTTTCTCTTTGCCCTATACACTTTGTGTTTGGACACATCAATGTCCAAATCAACTACAATAGTGGTTCTAAGTGAATCCAAAGGCATTTTGGGGTTCAATCTCAGGTGTTCTAAGTACTTAGTTGCTAAATAGGAAGATGAGGCTTGTCCATTATTATTAAACCAGAGGCAGTTTGTATGTTCTAAGACATGTTTTCACTACCAAATAGTTCTCACCATCTGGTTTGCTTGCATGTATCTTCTAACCACAATCAGCTTTATACACTACACTCACCCTATCTCCATCATTTCTTGTGAACTTAATATCAAACTTCTTTTGCAAACATAATTCTCTAAGTGCCAATCTGAAGTCTGCGACTGAACCAAACCTCATACCTAATTCAAGTTCCTTTTCCCCTAAATCCCTTAAAGGATAAAAGTCTTTGTATATAGAACTTGAATCAATTTATTCACTGTCATCAGAGCCAAATAGACTGACCAAATCATCAATAGGACCATATTATGATTGAACATGAGCAATTGTGTCTATTTCATGTAGTGCATACTCCCACCTTACTTCATCTGAGTCTTCAATCCCTTGCATGAAGTCATCCTCATTTTCTGCACTATTCAGCATAAGTGCAACAATGTATAACCTAATTTTATTGGTTACCCTATAGGCTTCATGGTCATAAAACATTATAAAAATATGTAAGTCACACTTGATTTCTCTAAAGTTGTGCCACTCATAAGGTACTTTATAAAAAACTTGTAATACCCCTAATTTTAAAAGGATAGTCTCAGCATTTTAATATTTACTTTATTACATTTTTAATTGTTTGTTTGGTATTTTCCTGTTTGTTTTAATTAATGGATTAAATGTATTTAATTTAATTATTTGCTTAATTGGTTTAATTGTGGTGTTTTAATTGAATTAATTGTATTATTTGTTTTCTTTATTTGAGTTAATGTTTTACATTGTATTAGTTATTTGTTTAAGTGACTTAGTTAATTATATTCGAGGTATCATTTTTTAATAATTAAATTATAGTTAGGGTTTTATTTTTCTGTTTAGGTATTTAAGTTTTAGCCGACTTAGGTATTGAATAAGTATTTTGTTTTTCGTCTCTGAATTAAATTGGAATTAGGGTAAGGTAATATTTTTCTAAACCTATAAATATATCATTACGGTGGCTTAGGGTTTTACGAACATAAACATAGTTATGTTCACGTAAAGAGGGGGTTGAGAGAAACAGAGAGCGATTGTGAGGAAAACAGAGCAATTGCAGTGAGGGTTTTGGCTGGGGATTAAAGGTTGGACCTAGGAGAAAGGAAGAGCCAAAGCAGTAGGAGGCTTGATGGTATTCAGTAATTGCTGAAAACTTAGAGACGACGCCGAGATTTCATAACTGAAATCACAGACAAGTTCTTTTCTTTCTCTCTTCCTTGGCCTATGTTCTGTGCATACCTAGATGGTCTCTAGGGTTTAATTAAACGTTAACTGAATCTTGCATGCTTAGTTTACATTAAATTAATCGACTGTATATGTTTTAATGTAATCTGTAACTGTGCTTGCAAGTCGAAGTTCAAGTTCTATGTTAACGCATAATGAATCGGTAGCGATTTTAATCACTGTAATTAATTCCAACTGTTGTAAACAAGTCATTGGAATGCTACCAGATATATATTAAACTGGTTAGCTCAGTATTAATGAAGAAAAGTAAGGTTGGAATAGGCCAGAGACGAAGTAGAAGGTCAAAAATGGGGCAGAAACGGACCGGAGGCTCTCAGTGAGGGAGAGAGCCGGCTCCATGGAAGTGGGAGCCGGTTC